GCGGTGGCTGAAGGTCTGTGAGCAGTGTGGGGACGGCTGGGGAGGCAAGCAGAGGGCTGGTGCCACCGTTCCGGTTCTGTGGGCGGCCGTGGCTGCAGGCACAGGGCAGGCAATAGCTGAGAGGGACGGAATGAGGACAGGAGAGCGGGGACAGGTCATGGAAAGCAGGGTGTCCATAGGAAGCAGGTGTGATGGTGCCTCAGCCAGCCGGGAGCCACAGTCACACAGATGGGAGATGAATCCCACCCCCGCTCTGTGCTCCCAGGCGCAGGACCGGTGGCTGTACTCTGAGCCAAGCCCCAGCCCAGCCCAAGGCCGGGCCATGGCGGGAGGAGCCTGCAGGCTGCCCAGCCCCTCGGCCCCTGCCCTGGGAGGAAGCGCCCACGAGTAAACACAGCCTCATCATCCAGCCCAGCGGGTCTGTCGCATTCCACGCCGGCCAGACTGCGGTCACCGCAGCGCTCTCCCTTCCTGGGAGGATGAGTGAGCTTTGCCTCCAGGGGAGATGTGTGCGGGCAATTCTCATCTCTGTGCCCCTCGTCCTCCTGGGCTGCTGGGGACTCCCTGATTTCCGGCAGGTGGGTGGATCCGAGGGCTGCGGTGCTGGGGGAGCCCCGAGAGCTGGGAATCTGGGCTCCGCTGGGTGCTGAGGGCAGGTCCCTGGGGGAGAAGTGGCTGCCCGACAGCCCTTGGGCCAAGTGGGAGGAAATCCGAACTTGGGGTTCAGGGGCTGAAGTGGGCTCACTGGAGAGGGAGTTGGCCTCGGTAGTGTCCACTCACCTGATGAGGGGCAGACCCGGCTAGGCCGGTGTGAGTGGCTTGCCCCCTCTCTATCGTGGGCTTTCCCCCCCACACCTCCGCCTGCTCCTCTCCCACACTTCCTTCTCCCTCGTCTCCCTCACTCATCCTTTCTCCCACAGCAGTTTCTTCAGGCTTTGGAGCCAGAGGAAGAGACCGCTTACTTTGGCCCTGACGCTGCCTCCAAAGGTACTTGTCCTGGCGCCTTCCTTGCAAGGGGAGTTTCTCAGAGCCTGCAGGGGGCATCTCACCCTTGGGTCAGGGACCTCGGCTTTTCAGTGGCTCAGCTGAGAGGCGGTCAGAGCTGCTGCTGTCACCCCGTTAATTAGTTCTGTTACTTCCTGCCAAGTCGATAAAAACTGGTCTGGGTGTCCTGGGCCGGGCTGGGGTTGTGACCCTGGGATTCTGCTCAGTATCTCAAGGGAACGGGCACTAATTAGCTGGTCTCTTCCACCCCTGGGCCTCCCTTTGGGCCGACGGACTGTCAGGAAGTCCTGCAGTTTCTGGCCAGGATGTAAACATCTATCTTTTCTGTGAGACACGAGAAAGGCGCTGGGTCAAGCTCCAGCCTAAGCCTTTTCCTGTCGCTCGCGGGCCGTGTCTGTGGACTTCTCCATGGTGCCAGCCCCCTTTCCGAGTAGGGCCATTGGTGATCCAAAGGCAGGTGGGGACCAGAGGCAGGGTAGGCTAGTGGTCAGAGCTGACGGAATTAGGGGTGTCCCACTCGTGCCTGCCTTCTCTGTGGTCGGGGCCAGATGCATGCTGAGCGATGGCTGGGGTCGCGCTGTGGGCAGGGGGAGCTGTGCTGGAGGGCCGAGCACGGGGGAGTGAGGGGCCTCCTGTCTCCCGCAGCACCCCGATTCGACGTGGCCCCGCTCACCTGCGTCTGTGAGCCCGAGCATGAGGCCGAGGACGGGCGTGGGGGGCTGCCCTGCAGGGCCCCGTGCTGCTCCCTGGCAGCCCTGGGACGGCTCTTCTGGGCCTCCTCGCCACCTCCTTCACCAGCGAGCGTGTGGTCAATGCCTCCCTCCGGCTGCCGGGGGCCCCCTACCCCTGCCTCGCGGGAGGCCTCGCCCTGCTGCCCCGAGGCGCAGCGTCCAGGCTCACCTTCTGCTTGGGCTGTGTGGTGAGTGGGCGCCCAGGCCGGCAGCACAGGGAGATTGTGCCTTGGGGACCCCAGTGGGGCAGAGATGCCTCCGAGCCCCCGCTGCACAGCCAAACGTGAGCGCAACACCACTTAGACCTTAGCCAGACTCTGACGCCACGGGGGCCTGTTCCTTGGAGGCTCAGAAAAGCCAGCTAAGTTTCCCAAGGCCACCCAGCTAGCAGGCGGCAGAGCTGGGTGCAAGCCCGGGGAACAGGGAACGGAGAGAGGGTGGGCTTTGCAGTCAGACCTCTGAGCTCAGACTCCAGCTCTGCGCCTTAGTACAGGCGACCTTGGCCAGGTACTCCCTGGACGTCAGCGTCGTCACTGATAGGACTTCCCAGGTGGTCCAGTGGTTAGGACCTGGCGCCTTCACTACGGGGGCCCGGGTTCAATCCCCAGTCAGGGAACTAAGATCCCACAAGCTGCGATGCCAAAAAAAAAAAAAGAAAAGAAAGATTAAGAAAGAAAGAAATGGTGAAGGCAGCAGCAGTGGTATCTTTGGGGATTGTCACACGTTGTCACGATGCGTCACTGAATGAGCCAGAGCCATTTATATCATAACCACCCGCCTCCCCGCCCCATTCCAGGGTCAGGAGGCCCCAGCCTGGGTTGGAACAGATGCCGCTCAGGGCCCATCTGGTGACAGGCAGTGCTGTTCATTAGCGCAGGCCTAGCTGTTCCCTCAAGACACCCTCCATTCTTGCACACGTGGGGCCCCGCCGGGATCCTTACCAGGCCCTGCAGACTGGGGCTGGGAGGCCTTGTGCGTGACGGGGACTGGAAGCGTGGCTGGGGACCTGGCAGCAGGTGGTGGGCAGCGAGCGCAGCCCCCAGAGGGCGTGGCTCCCCCGCTGTTCCACACAGATGGGCTCTCGGACCTTAGACTTGGGCAGGAGCCCTTGGAGGGGGCAAGTCCATGCCTGGTGCTGTGATGGCCCTGCATGGGGGACGGGGCTGTGTGCACCAGGCGGCTCTCTCTCCTCCAGGAGGGCGACATCCTGGTGGGTGCAGACATGTTCTATATCCAGCCATTGAGGAGGTGGCACCGGGAGCTGGTGCCTCCCTGGGGTGGTGCCCAGCCCCACCTGATCCACAGGCCCACCCCCAGGGCACCAACGGTTCCAGGTACAGCTCCTGGGAGAGGGGGGGGCGGAGCTGCATCAAGGACAGCTCTGCAGGAGGGACCAGCTCTCCTGATGCCTGGGCCCAGCTCCACCAGCCACCTTCGTTAGCACACAGGGGAGTGCCCAGCTCACGGGGCAGGCCAGGAGAACACGTGGCCACCAGCCGTGGCCCCAGGCCGTCTGCTTGGTGGGCGGGTAGACCTCCCGCCTCTGAACAGCCATTCACAGTTTACAAAGCGTGTTCACAGACGTGCGCCGTGGAGCCTCGGGTGGGCCGAGGTCAGCAGTTCCTGATAGGTCCGATGCTGCAGATGGGAATCCAGAGGCCCAAAGATGGGAAGTGGCTGCCGCAGGCCTCCAGGACGGCTCCAGGGCATGGGCAGGATCGGGCCGGCTCTGCTGCCACCACGCCCGCTCATGCCTTCCCCAGGCTGTGCCCGGCTGCAAGCGGGGTGTGGTCCTGGGCTTTTCTTGCCGTCTTGGGGTGACACCCTACTCCAGTGTGCGCCCAGCATGGGGCTTTGGGGTGGCCAGAAGGACATAAAAGCCACACAGCAGCTGTCTCCTGGCCTTGCGCTGCCCCGAATGCCCAGGCAGCAATAGGATCTGGGCCCGAGGGGTGGAATGAAACGTCTCCACCTGAGACGGCCATCCTCCCAAGACCCGGCTGCCTCTCCCCTGTAAGCTGACCGAGCTGTCAGTTCGAATGGTCACAACGTGAATGACATGCGAGAGCTCAGGACCTCTCACCCTCTGAGAGTGTTTCCTCCCAAAGAGCTGGGAGGACCAAGATGCCCCAGATGAGTTGGTGGGTGTCCAAGGGCGTGAAACCGGGGTGCTGAGAGGCCGGCTCCAGAACGGCCAGGGCAGAGCTGCTCACTCTGCATAGAAAACTAGCTATGGTTACCAAAGCGGGAGGGGGGAAGGATAAATTAGGAGTTTGGGATTAACAGATACACCCTACTCTATATAAAATAGGTAACCAACAAGGTCCTACTGTATAGCACGGGGAACTATACTCAAGATTTTGTAATAACCTTGGACTTCCCTGGCAGTCCAGTGGTTAAGACTGTGCACTCCCAATGCACGCAGTGCAGGGTCGATCCCCGGGCGGGGAACTAGAATCCCGCAAGCTGTGCAGCGTGGCGAAAAAAAAAAAAAGAAAAAAGAAATTTGTAATAACTTATAAGGGAAAAGAATCTGAAAAAGAATAAACATATACGTATATGTGTAATACATATATGTATAATACGTATATGTATAATAATACGTATATGTATAATACGTTTATGTATAACTGAATCACTTTGCCGTACACCTGAAACTAACACAACATTATAAATCAACTCTGCGTCAATAAATATATATAAAATAAATAAACCAAATGCTTAGCCAATTAGTGATTAAAAAACAAAAAAGAGGAACCGCTCCCTCAGTCTCCCTGTGCCGGGAGACGGGCCCTCTCTGGCTCCCCACATGCCCTGTGAGAAAGTGAGGGTCGGGCCCGTCCACGCCCTAATCCCCACAGTAAGCGGTGCATCCCCAAGCCCAGGAGCGTGGGGTGATGGAGGGGCCTGGCCGTGGGGGCCGCGAGGTCAAAGCCACATCTCACCTGCTCTCTAGGACGCTGGCTCTCGGCCCTGCCCCCCGCCCCGCCAGGCCGTCCTCCCGCCCCTCGCCTGCGGAGAGGGGCTGCCAGGAGCCTCCTGCACCTGGAGCTGCTGGTGGCTGTGGGCCCCGACATGCACCAGGCTCACCAGGAGGACACGGAGCGCTACGTGCTCACCAACCTCAACATGGTAAGTGCTCGCGTGGGCAGCGGGCTCTGTGGGCGGCGCTGACCCGGCGAGGCTCAGGGTTCCGGGGGGGCGGTGGCTGTCCTCAGAGACCACAACCAGCCCATCCTCGGGAGCCTCTGGACACAGCGCCCTGCGCCCGGGGCTTGTGCAGAGCATCAGTGAGCTGTCTCGTCTGGGGGGCTGAGCTCAGTATGAACCTGAGGCTGGGGTCACACTTGGGGCTTAGGGCCCTGGGGTGGGGAGAGGCGTGATCTTTCTCCCTTACCCCACTGCAGAGTGCAACCCCCAGCCTCTTGCTACTTGGGTCCCTTCGCCCGGGGACCCTCAACCCTGGCCTCTCCCACAGCGTCCCTTTAATCCGTGGGCATGTCGGCCAGCACTGCCCTGGCAGCCAGCCTGGCTGCCCCACACCAGGCTCTCCCAGCGCCCTTCTTGTGGGCACCCCCATGCCCGCAGGCCTCCCCTTCACTTGGCTTCTAGGGGTAACGGTGAGGCAGGAAGCACAGCTCCCAGTAAGCATTACCTCGGAAAAAAAGAGGCAGCACAGAAACAGGTGACTGAATGTGATGACACATTCAGTCTGACGGGCTGTGCCCGACCACGAGCGCATTCACACGTGAAACACACACAAACACACGTGTTCTAAGGCGGCCAGGTAAGTTTCCATAACGTCAGGAGATTAATATTACCATCAGCAGCGGCAGGGCCGGCATTGCCCCCTGGTAAGTTGGCCCCGGAGGGCAGGCAGCCATCCTAGAACATGGGGTCCTTAGTACCATCTTGTCCCGGCCTCAGATATGCCCAGCTATTCCGGACAGAAGGAAACGATCCCCCAATCTCAGAGCCCCAAGCCCTCCGACACCTCTCCTTTCCCATGTGTTCTCTGGGCCTCGCTCCCTGGAGGGAATCTGGGTCCCAGAGGCCACACCCATGCAGCACTGACCTCTGGAAAAGCTGGCTCAAGTCCAGGACAAGCCTGCTTGGGTTTCCACCTGCCGACTCCAGAGGTGGAAAATATTCCCTCTAGGTCACTTGAAGGCTACCGTTTTCAAGCTTTGGGGGTCTCCCCCACCTCGAATATGCTGAAATTTGGTAATCAAACCACACTCTCTGTGGTCATTCAACATGTTTTATGAGGGCCAAGGATGGTCAGGTGGTAGATTGCAGACCGGCTCCTGCCCAGATGGTGCCAATCGTGGTAATGGCCAGTGGCATGACTGGGCACCCACCTCATGCCAGCCGCACTGTTCCTAAGTCTGCCAACAACCATGGAAGGCTTTCTCTCCATTTTACAGGTGAGGAAACTGGGGTCCTGAGGTTAGTAAACGGGATCCTGAGCGTACAGGTAGGAAGGGGCAGAGCCTGGGTTCAGACTCAGGTCAGCTGAGGCCAGTGGCGCCGCGTCCTCTCTCCTGGATGCCACGTCTCATTTAGAGGACAAGCTCGTGCGAGCATCCGCAGTGCAAGTCGACCACAATCAGCATCTCGGCAGATGTACTGGGAGAGCTGGGAGCCTGGTGGGGGGAGCCTTCTCATTGGGGTGCCCAGGAAAAGGCTCACGGTGGGGGAGGAGGCCCTCGGGCTGCCCCGTGGAGATGAGCAGTTTAAGCGAGCAGAGGTGAGAGAGGTGTTTCAGGCAGGTGGACAGATGAGAAAAGACAAGGTAAATCCAGTCCGAGAGAAGCAATGTTTGAAAGGAACGTTCTAGACTAATGGCTTACTCGCATCCCGTTGATTCGGGGTTTCTCTGTGTCGGCTGACCTTCCTTCTGACTATCTCTATGGCTGGCTCCCAGGCCCAAGGACTAGCATTTCGGGTGGCCTCCCTGCTGATGAAGCATCCTCTCCAGGCAACCCCACCCCCACCCCCGCTCCGGGCCCCTGGAAGTCAGCAGCGTCCACGCACTCGTATCACCTCTCCCGCCTGCCCTTCCACAGGGGTCAGAGCTGCTTAGGGACCCATCCCTGGGAGCTCAGTTCCGAGTGCACCTGGTGAAGATGGTCATCCTGACGCAGCCTGAGGTAGGTGCTGAGCTGGACGCCCAGTCACTGGGAAACCGGTTTCTGCCTGCGGATGCACACAGAGCCGTGGGGGTGGTGGCAGGGCTTCCTGCCAGCTGGGCTTGGACCTGAATTCCGGCTCTGCCCTGGCATGCGGCACTGCTGAGCGTCAGTCTCATCATCTGTAACATGGGACAGTAATAGGGTTGTTATGAGGACTTAGATGGCAGCAGTGGTCCGCGCCCTGCTTGGGGTGGATGCCCTAAATGCGCGCTCTGTTCCCGGTCCCTCAGGATGCTCCGAATATCACAGCCAACATCACCGCATCACTGCGGAGCGTCTGTGAGTGGAGCAGGACGGTCAACCCTGAGGATGACACGGATCCCGGCCATGCTGACCTGGTCCTCTATATCACCAGGTAGTCGAGCTCCCCACTGGCGTGCCAGCCTGCCGGGGAGCTGCTCCCACTCTCTGCAAAGGTAGCCCGGCGGTGGGCAGGCACCTCAGCACTGCCCAGCTAGCTGTTCTCTCCTCCTGAGGTTTGACCTGGAATTGCCTGATGGGAACCGGCAGGTTCGGGGGGTCACCCAGCTGGGTGGCGTCTGCTCCCCGTCCTGGAGCTGCCTTATCAT